GACGACCTGCTTTGGGTCATGTCTGGTTGGGGTGGGAGGTGCACTGCAGTCCTCACTCAGGCCACCACTCAAACCCTTCACGGGTCCCTGTGCGTCCAGTGACAGGTCACAGGGAAAGGGGGAGTGACGGTAGTAGCTACAGCTTCTGGGCACCCATCATCCAATTTGCATGGCAGAGCTAGAGAGGGAGAGGTCATTAGGTCCACTTCGCAGAGAAAAACTGACCCCAGATGGGTCATGTGTCACAAAGCAGGGACCTTCTAGTAAACCACCCTCTGAAAAATAAAAAAAGGAGACAGAGACAGTTGGAGGGGTAGGAAGGTGTAAATATTACCTACCACAACGGTCAATTTCAAGGGATCAGTGGTTTAACAAATGACTTGCAAAATTCCTGAACACTTAACAGGCACCATGGATTTGAACCCGGTCCTGGGCATCTATCTCAGAAGTCCCCACTATCTTCTCTGTCAGCATTTGCTACACCTTGTTCATCTACTCACCACTTGTACAATTTTGCCATACCTGTGTTCCACCTATTATTAAATATTTTTCTCTAAGACATCTCACTTTCAAAAAAAAGGTTTTTATTTATTATTTATTTGAGAGAGAGAGAGCAAGCACAAGCAAGGGGAGGGAGCAGAGGGAGAGGGAGAAGCAGACTCCCCACTGAGCAGGGAGCCCGATGTGGGGCTCAATTCCGGCACCCTGAGATCATGCCCTGAGCCGAAGGCAGACACTTAATCCACTGAGCCACCCAGGTGCCCCAACACCTCACTTTTTAAAGACGGTTCAGAGCCTAGGAGAGCCTGCCCCCATGGGGATTGGACTGGGTTTCCATAATCATTTCACCTGCGGCCACCGTTTGGTGGGAGGGAGGGACAGGGTGTTGATCAGCAGCAGCAGTGGTGGGTACAGTCAATACAGACCAAGACCTCCAAGGGACAGAGCCCCAGGGAGGAATCAAAAACAGAGACTCCTACAGAGGGCAGCTAGTACAGGGCTAGTATCCACCAAGGCTAAATACGTGCCTACCCTGCAAAGCAGCCATTCCATTCCAGAACATATACTCTCAGAGAGGCGTGCACATGTTCACCCAAAGACACACAGAGTCTTCATAACAGCTCTGCTCATGACAGTCCCAAGTGGAAACCAATACACATACCCATCAACAGGAAAATGGACAGATTAGTTGTGGAATAGTATATAGCAAAGAAAAAGGGCGCGCGCACACACACACAATTACTATATGCAAGGAAGGAAAGAATCTCACAGACACAATGTCAAGAAAAAGAAACCAGACCCCAAAGAGTATGTGTTGCGTGGTTCTATTTCGATAAAGTCCAAAAACAGCAAACTCATCTATGGTTAAGAGAAATCAGAATACGGGGTGCTAATGACTGAGAAGCCCAGGAAAGCTTCAGAGGTGCTGGTAAGGTTTTCACCTTGATCTAGATGGTGGTTACAGTTATGTTCATTTACTAAACATCTGTTGAGCTGTATATGTAAGATTTTTTTTTTTGTACTTTAGTATAGGTATATTTCAATATAAAATATAATAAATAAATATAAGAAGAAGGTATACAAAATACCAGCATAGCGCTAGGTGAAGAGAGTAAGAACCGGAATGCCATCTACAACCAACACTGTTGAATAATTAAGAAGCCCATGAACATAAAGGCTACCACACATTTTGGGAGAACACAAAAGATATACATTAAGTGCATTCATATGGTTGCCTGTGGGGAGGGAATGGGAGTGAGGGGTAGTGATAAAAGGGAAACCATAAATAATAAAATAGGATCAGGGCCTCACTAGGACCAGAGGGATCCTGTGCCATTTCATAAAGAAAAGGAAGAAGAAGAGGAGAAGGGGGAGGGGAGGAGGAGACATTAAATTTTGGACAATCCTTTGAGGTTTCCAACACTGCCCAAGGAACTCAGCTTGGTCTCTGAACCCTGGAACCCCCCCAGCACCCCAGTGCTAGGTAGCATGCTTTACACACAGGCTTCCCCTGCTCATGGCCCTGGGAGGATAGACATTGTTCCCAGAGGAGTCAGATCAGTTTCTGAAGGACTGAACCCCTTCCCAGGACCTGGAGCTGGGAGACTGGCAATGGGCCTATTGGAGATCTGAGGAGAAGGGGCATTTCAGATGGGGCTCACAGGTGACCTGGAATTTCTCAGGAGGTGGGAGATGAGAGCAGGGGTAAGGGAGAGTCATATGTGGTGAAATCAGAGCAATAGAGGAGGGAGGCTGGAGGCTGGTGGGCAGCTCACTCCCAGACCAGTGTGGGCCTCAGTCAGCTCTCAACACATGTCCTTCATGAGATCTGCCATAACCAAGTACCACCTGTGCTTTTACTAGTACTTTTAAACAAAAAATTTTTTTTTACTTAAATGTTTTAGAAGGTAGTTTTGTCCAAAGGGTTGATGTGGATGTGGAAAAATGGAACCCTGGTGCACTGGTGGTGGGAATGTAAATGCTGCAGCCACTGTGGAAAATGGTATGGCAGTTCCTCGAAACATTAAACATAGGGGACGCTTGGGTGGATCAGTTGGTTAAGCGTCTGCCTTCAGCTCAGGTCTCAGGTCATGATCCCAGGGTCCTGGGATCGAGCCCCACGTTGGGCTCCCTGCTCAGCGGGGAGCCTGCTTCTCCCTCTGCCTGCCGCTCCCCCTGCTTGTGCTCGCTTGCTCTCTCTCTCTCTCTCTAACAAATAAATCAATCTTAAAAAAAAAAAAAGTCAAACATAGAACTACCCTACGATCCAGCAATCCCACTTCTGGGCATTTATGCAAAAGAACTGAAATCAGGATCTTGATGAGGTATTTAAACACTCATGTTCACTTGAGCACCCATGTTCATTATTCACAATAACTAAAAGGTGGAAGCAATTCAAGTGTCCATCAATGGTTGGATAAGCAAAATGTGGTGTATACATACAATGGAATATTATTCATCCTTAAAAAGGAAAGAAATTCTGATACACGCTACAACGTGGATGAACCTGGAGGACATTATGCTAAGTAAAATAAACCAGTCACAAAAGGTCAAATACTAAAAACTAAACCAAACCAAACCAAAAAACCCCAAAAGGTCAATACTATGTGACTCCACATATGTATGTATATAAATGACTGTATGTATACACTTGGAGGAGTGAAATTCATTGAAACAGAAAGTAGAGTGGTGGTGACAATGGGCTGGGGGAGGGGGCCGGGGGAACTTATTATGTAATGGGTACAGAAATTCAGCTTTACAAGATGAAAAGAGTTCCAGAGATGGATGGTGGTGATGGTTGCACAATGGCGTGAATATACTAAATGCCACTGAACGCTTAAAAATGGTTAAGATATAAATTTTGTTTTGGGTGTTTCATGGCAATTTTTAAAAGGTAGCTTTGTGGGGCGCCTGGGTAGCTCAGTCAGTTGAGCATCTGTCTGCGGCTCAGGTCATGATCTCAGGGTCCTGGGATCGAGTCCCACATCATTGGGTCCCTGCTCAGCAGGTAGTCTGCTTCTCCCTCTTCCTCTGCCTCTCCCCCTGCTTGTGCTCTCTCACTGTCTCTGTCAAATAAATAAAATCTTTTAAAAATAAATAAATAAATAAAAATAAAAGGTAGCTTTGTATCACTACTATAAATGAAAAAAACTCTTGTGCTAAAGGAAAGATGTCCATAAAATTAAAAACAATTACTAATTGAAGGCAGTGTTAATGTTGCCCTAGATGCTGGTATCTGCTGAGGCTATGCATGGAGACCTCATCCCACTCTGTAGCCCATGCTTTGAAAGACCCTTGTAAGGACAAAGGAGAAGGGGGCATGAGCATGTCAGGCAGAGGCAGGCCAGGGCATGCCAAGTAAGAAAAGCAGAGCAGAGAGACCCCCACCAGGCCCGGGGCTGTCTGGGCAGGGAATTCCAGGTCTCAGGTGCCTGAACATGGGGTACCTTAGTTCCAAGAACTTCTTAGTCTGTGAGGAGGGGGTCCTGCAGCAGGAGGGCTAGAGTAGATCCCTCTTTAAGCACTAGACCCAGGGAGAGGGCCTGGTTACTTTGGTCTAGGGGCTGTACTTTCTGGAGACAAGTAAAAAAATACAATCCAGCCTCAATATGGCCAGGGCATAGACAGATGATGGCCAGTGAGGGTGGAAGGGAAGGGTCTAGAGGGAGAAGTTGTGAAGGCTGTTTCTAAGAGTCACCCGTGGACATCTGATATTTTAGCCAGCACTGCATCCAGACCCTTTTCCTGGAAACAGTGCCTCGGTTTTCCTTTGAGAAGCTGCCTATTTCTGGGATGAATATTCAGTACATTTTGTTGGGCAAGGCTGACTCCACCCCTACCCACTATGGGATTCAGAGGATCCAGGCCTGGCCAGTCAGAAGATGCTATTCTTCCTCCTCACCTTGGAGCAATAATGACTCCATAGCTCCGAAATACTCTATAGCTCTCAATACTCTATAAGCTCCTGGATTCAGCCACACCTGACGCAAGAACCTCCCCTTCGTTTATGCTTTGGAAGGGTCCTCAGCTTAACTGACAAGGTGTGTGTGCTGGGGGCTGGGTAAGTCTCACCACAATCTGCTCCTTGTCCAGGGACTCCGGAGGTTTCATCTAGTCTGTAGAGATCCTTCTCGAGCACACAAGTGCCTTACAGTTCTGGGTGTTGCGGGCCCCCACATCTCCTTACGGAGACACATCCCCTCACCCGTGCTCCATGATGTCAATTACATGACTTGCAGCTCACCGGCTGAAATGTGAAATCTCATAGACTGTTTTTTTTAATTAATTGTAAAGTTTTAACTTTTTCTTTTGCATTCTCGTTGCAAGCTTTTCCACAGCCTCTGGAAAGCTCCCAGGCTCCAGGGCCCGTGCCCACGACGCCCGACGCACGGACAGGGCCCCGCGCGCCTCGGACCCTCGTGCAGACGGGCGGGAGCGGGCTGGGGCTCGCACGCATGCGCGCGGAGGCGGGGCTGCGCCCCCAGGCCTGCGCGTTGCCGTTCGGCCGCCGGGGAGTGGCAGCGAGCGCGTGCCGGAGGCGGCCGCCGGGCTAGCGAGACTTTGTGCTCCACAGACCCTCCTTCGGGCGCATCCTCCGGGAGCCGCCCCCCAAGCCCCCGCCGCTTCCAAGCAAGGCGCCCCCGACTCGGCGGGACCGGCCCCGGGGGATGGAGCGGGCCCGTCCCCACGGCCCCAGAGGGCCCCCGAGGAGACGACCGCGCGCCGCCTGACCCGCCGTCCTGGCCCAGGGGCCCATGGGCGCGTCCCCGCGGGCGGGCCGCGGACGTGAGGGCGGCGAGCGGCGGGGTCGCGACGCCGAGGAGGGCCGTGCTCGTGCCCGGCCCCGCGCAGGCCGCGCGCGCGCGCTCCCGCCGCAGCGCCGGCCGCGCCCGCCCCGCCTCTCGGCGCCGGCTCTGGAGCCCGGTCCGCGAGCGGCGGCGGCGGCCGGAGGGACGATGAGCGGCGCGGCGCGGGCGGGCCCGGCCCGGCTCGCCGCGCTCGCTCTGCTGACCTGCAGCCTGTGGCCGGCGCGGGCGGACAACGCGAGCCAGGAGTACTACACGGCGCTCATCAACGTGACGGTGCAGGAGCCCGGCCGCGGCGCCCCGCTCACGTTCCGCATCGACCGCGGGCGCTACGGGCTCGACTCGCCCAAGGCCGAGGTCCGCGGCCAGGTGCTGGCGCCGCTGCCCATCCACGGAGGTGAGTGCGGGGCCGCGGAGAGAGCAGCCGGCGCGGGGGGCGGGCGGCGGCCCCCGGGGGAGCCGGGGCGCGGGGGCGGCGGGCGCGGCGCCTCCACCCCGGCCGGGCTCGCCGCTTCGCTCCGCGCCGCTCGGCCGGCGGCCCCGGCGCCGAGCTTTCCGTCGTGTGCCCCCAGCCTGCTCCGCGGCTGGAGGGGGGGCTCCAGACGCGTCCGGGGGGCTTCCTCTTCTTGTCGGAGGACTTAGAAAACGTTCCTTTTCGTTTAGGTAGCTTGTTTACGGGAGGGCATTGCACTGCGAGTTTGCGGGGACAGTTGAGACAAAGGAGGTGGTGGAGGAGCGCAGAACTAATTCATGGTGGATGAGGTTCTAACCTGTCTTTTGGGGATCGGCAGGTTTGTTCCCGAAATCCCAGACTTAACGCTGCCTTGGATTTCGGAGGATGAGGCCCTTTTCGAACGGGAAAACGTGCCGTTTCTCTTAAGTGGCAAGTGGGAGGAGGGTGGAAGAGGAAAATGGGCATCTTCCCTGTTGCTTTTGGCTCTTGTTCTGCCCCAGTAGTTTGACTGTAATTTGACGCCTGAAAAATCTCACATCATGAAGAATCTGATACCGATTGGGACTAGGAGCCAAGTCTTCAGGGCACCGGTGCTGACCAAAGGGGAAATGGATAAAATTTTCAAGAATTGTCTTATTCTCATGTCTTCCTAAAAACACGGGTTCTGTCTCATTATTTGGTATAAAACATATATTTGTATATATCACGGGCCATGTTTTAAAGGAACCATTCTCCCTTTTGATATTTTCTGTGTTTTTTTTTTTTTTTTCCCCTTTTCCCACTGCTAACTTTTTGGAAAATGTCTGCTATCTTCTCCACCCCCACACTCATCCTGAGAATGCTGAGAGGGTTTTTTTTTTTTTTTTTAAGCTGCTATTCATGTTAAAATGACCTAAACAAGGCAGCCTAAATAAGGTAATGGTGTTTGTTTTTATACTCTAAATATTAAAACATCATGCCTCTTCTGAGATCTGCATTTGTGATCTCAGATCTGCTGAAGTGCTAAGCTGTTTGTATACTGACTGAGGAAAGAGAATCCTGCAAGGCTTTCACTGTAGCTTGCCCCCAGTGTAGACCTGCCCTTTAAAACTTCATTTGTACACCAACAATCAGGTGCTTAAAGGGCACTCTTGTCTCCACTTTGTTAAAAATGGCAGTTAGGGTCCCAGCGTGCCCGCAGAAACAACTTTGGTCTTTGGTTCATTTAGTAAATATTTGTGTCCCTGTTCTGTGCCAGTCACTGTAGTTGGATCACATCATGTTGCCAAACTATGGCACTAACAATGGTAGCCTATTTTCTGGTGCTGAGAACCAGGAGGGTCACGGGGAAGGGAAGGAAGAGGAAGAGAGAGGCAAGCTGTTGTGGAGCAAGAGCTGGCCCTGTGCAGTGTTTTGAAATCTGTGGTTTTTCTTTGGGGCTTGGTTCCCTCCAGCACCCTAAATCCATGATCCTCAATTTTAGATTCTTGCCTCCAGAGTGTTCCATGTTTTAAAACTACTTGTTGCTTTCCTGTCACCCCAAACAAAAGCCCCCTCTTCGAGAAAGCTTGTTTTAGGTGTTGGAATAGAAGGGTATTGGGAGCTCACATGCAGCTGATGTGTGGATGAGGGTTAGTCCTATTCCTTTGTCCCTGGGGAGGTAGCATCACTGTGGGATTCAAGGTTCTGAGTCCTGCTGTACATATACATACTTTGTGACACTAGGAACGTAAATTGGCTGCGTAACCTCAGTTTCATCAGCAAAGTGGAAGGATGACATATTTACCTCAGTAAGGTTGTTGAGGTATAAATGGCTCCTGCTTTTTTTTACATTTTTTTTAAGTAGGCTCCACGCCCAGCGTGGACCCCAACACGGGCCTTGAACTCACGACCCTGAGATCAAGACTTGAAATCAAGAATCAGATGCTTTTAACGGACTGAGCCACCCAGGCATCCCTTTGTTCCTCCATTCTTAAAAAGATCAGACTTATTGACCTAAATGAGTGTCTAAATTGGTGAGGTTTTAGACACCCTGTTGAAGTGAACACATTGGGGCAGTGTGTAAAGGCTGAGTCTGAGGTCAGTTTCCTTAAGTGTCTGTCTTCCCCTTCTCCATTCTCTAGGAGCTCATTTTCTTTTTGTACGTGAGATTGCTCTACGTTCTCTCATGGTGTGAGAGGTGAGACCCTACAGGTGGTTTGGATCTGACTTCCTACTAAGGGATCTGCAGACATAGGTGCTTTCAGTCTGGCAAATACTAATCGAAATCCTTTGTACCACTGGGGAGACAGGGGTAACAGCAGTGAACAAAACATAAAAATCTATCTTCCTGAAGTGCTAGTAAGGGCCTTTATAAATCCGTTCACCTGTAAATCGTGAAATCCAAGGTATTTTCCTGCTCTTGTAGCAGGAACTTAGGAATGTATCTTAAAAACAACAGTGGTGGTATAAACCTGTTAAAATTACTCATGTTTAAGAAGTAGCTTACATCAGTTATACCTCAGTAAAAAAAAGGAGAGAGAGAGAAAATGGCTATTTTTGATTTAGTGAGTTTCAAAATTTTCTATTTTACGAAAAAATATTGCAATTCTAGTGATCTTTATGCCTTATAATTTTGAATTGAAGAGCATTCTTAGCATGTTTGTGGAGGACTTACTGTGTATTGACAGTGAACAAAGTGATATTCAAATTACACACACAAAAAAGTTATGAGACAGAATTCCTGGCAAAAGCAGCTGTGGGCAGTAGATGTGAATCAATCTTCCTGTCCTTTCCTTTTCCTTTCCTTTTCCTTTTCCTTTCCTTTCTTCTCTACACCCAATGTGGGGCTTGAATTCAACATCTGCCCCCCCCCCCGCCCCCCAGCCAGCCAGGAGCCCCTAGATGTGAAATTAATGAAAATGCATTTTGAGGATAAATGTTTGGTAGTAATGACCATAAAGACAAAATAACTTCGCATTTTCCTAGAGCTTAACATGGTGACTCATTTTAAATCTATGACTTGATTGGTGAAATATTAGAAACCTTTCATATTTTGAAGTGCTACTATCAATTAGGCATGTATGAATTTCTGAGTAAAATTGATTTGCCCTATGTCCTTAAAGGATAAACAGGCAACTTTTTCTTTAGATGCTTTGGTATTTTAAAAGTACATTTTGGGGGCGCCTGTGTGGCTCAGCTGGTTAAGCCTCTGCCTTCAGCTCAGGTCGTGATCCCAGGGTCCTGGGATCGAGCCCCGCATCCGGCTCCCTGCTCGGCTTGAAGCCTGCTTCTCCCTCTCCCTCTGCTCCTGCTTGTGTTCCCTCTCTTGCTGTGTCTCTCTCTGTCAAATAAATAAAATCTTAAAAAAAAAAGTACATTTTGGAAAGTGTTAAACTTTATAAAACAGTAAGTGTTCCACTTTGAAAATCTATTCTTTTTCATTAAATAGAATGCATTTGTAAATGGAGATTTCATTTGCCTGGTGCTAACGAATTTCACATTTTAACTGAGAATTCATTTGTAGATATGGGCTTTTGAAGAGACGTATTTATTTGCAGATTCCAGTAGCTTTCTTACTACTAATTTGCTCAAAGGGTGAGCTTAGAGCTAGAAACAAATGTAAACCAGCTAGTGCCTACTGTGGAGCAGACATTGTAACTGCTCTCTGTGTGCGCCACTAACTTTTTGTCTGAGCCTGGAGTGGGGGGTTGGGAAGGAGAAGGCCCTGTGTTGATGATGTCATTGTGTCTGCAGATGGGGGAAGAATCTGGTGTCAGCCACTTTTTGCTTTGCATAGAAATTTTGAGGATTGGATGTTTCAGCCTGAGAGAACAATTTTACGAAATGTTCAACTTGGGAGGAGGGTGTTATCTTACTGACCGTACAGATGCAATAAAAAAATTTTTTTTAATAGCTTAGGTTTAAGAAAGTAATTCTATGGGATGAATCCATTAAACCTGAACATGGTTTTTAAAATTCTGATAGAGTGAAGGAGATTGATGTGGAAATAAGACCTTGGCTGAAAGCGGTCACATACTGTTGGAATTCATTCACAATGGCAAAGGCAGGGGCTACTGGAGATAGTTAGAGATTTCAAAATATTCAGAGAAAAAATAGGTATGATCCTGGGAGCAGGGACTCTGAAAGGAAAGAGAATTCAAAAGGAGCTGGAGGTTCTAAAAACCAGATTTTAACATAATTAAGCAAGCAAGCAGATAAAGGAGATATATACAATAAATTATATTTATATTGAATTTTACAATTTTTTACAGATTTTATTTGGGAGAGAGCAAGAGGGGAGGGAGAGTGGGGGGAGGCAGACTCTCCATTGATCAGGGAGCCCAGTGCAGGGCTCGATCCCAGGACCCTGGGATCATTACATGAGCTGAAGGCAGATGCTTAACTGACTGAGCCACTCAGGCACCCCTATATTGAATTTTATAATTTAGAAAATGGTTTTACATACTCTATTTTTCCTTCACTTTTTGATGATCCATTGGCATATAAATATTCGAATATTTTTTAGAAAACATTTGACCTTCTCACCAAATACCCATCCTGCTACCATTCCATTTCTCTGTTTCTCTTCAGTGTTTCCTCCTGCTGTTCACATTGTGGGGATCTTTGATTGCTCTGCCGGTGATGTTGATAAAGAATGGCATATTTAAATGATGTATTGGCCTACAGAATCCCTAGGGTCTCAATGTGTGGAATGGTGGATTGGAACTAAGAAAAAAGTTAATAGGAGTGAATAAATAGTCCTGAATTCCAGTAAAACAAAACAAAACAAAAACAAAAAACCCGCCCGCATTAAAAGGTGTTGAAGGGAGATAAGGCTTAGCTGCCTTTTGCAGGATGGACCCTCTCTAGTCTCCATGCATCTGGGCACCTGGATCCTGGCCAGTGCTGGTCCTGCTTCGTAGAGGCCAGGCCCACCTCTAGTTTATGTTTAGTTCTGCATATGAGTTTTAAAAGGTAGAGAG